CCGGACGCCCGCCCCCGGCCGGCTGGCGGGGAGAAGCGGGGGTAACCTCGCCGCGTGCCTAAACGACCCGCCGAGTGGAGAGAAAACGCCTGGTGCCAGCTCTGTAACCCTTCCGAGTTTCGTCGAGCCAGAAAGCCGGCGAGCCGGCTGTCTCATGACCGCGCTGCAGGCAAGCTCGGGTCTGCCTTCGCGAGCAAGCCACGTCCTGTGCCCAGCTGGCGCACATCTGCGGCCACACTCGTGGTGGCGAGGGCCGCTAAGCATCTTTTTCTGCAAAGAGCGAGATGATAGTAGCAGCAGCATTTTTGCGGCGTGAGCAGTGTGACTGCCATTTTCTGTATTTCCCTGTTGGTCTGGAGGATATTTATTGAGCGCCCGATGCCCGATTTGCACAGAATAATTCCTGGGAAGATACCTGTGTTAATCGCTTCCACTTAAGGCCGAGTTGCGGGTCAGCCAGAGCTCTCTGATAATGCTGTTCCACTGGTTGCACCTCTTGCCCTGAGCCTGTGCTGCCGTGGACCGTACACCGTAAAGTGGCGATACTTGGTGAACACAGCGATGTGTAAAGGCTTAGCATAGGGACAGGTAGATAGCGTCATTGTCAGTCCGTATGGTTTTTTTTTCCTGTTTTGAAAAGGGTTGTTTTGATCCATTTTAAATCTGCGCTTCAATTTTAGAATTGAGCATTGAGTTGGACTGTTGTTTTGCTTAAGACTGGCAGGCTGCTGTGTATTCTTAATGCCTGGTAAGGGTCGATCGGTACATTTTACGAAGCCAACTGTGAGGGTAAGCTAAGACCACAGTCCTGAGGTCTGCCCTGTTCTGGGGCCTTGCGTAATGAGACCTGATTACCGTTAAGGACCTGATTGCCCAGGGAGCGGTGCAGAAGTGAGGGAGAACCTGGCCTGGAATCCATCCCGAGCCACCCCTTCCCTCATTCCAGGACTGCAGTTCCTAGTTGGAAGAACCGTGTTCGCGCAGCGTTTGGGGAACTCGAGCCGTGTTAGAAGACAACACAAGACCAACCTGCACGTTGTGGGTATACAGACCAGAAGTAAGTCTTGTGCTTTAAAATCCTGAGAGTAGGACTCATCGTCCAGCTAAGAAACATTAAAATTATTTGCCATGCGTCAGTTACCAAAAGGTTATGTTTGTAATTTTGATATTGAGTGAGATTGTCCGTTTACTCATTTTACTCCCCCAGCCCCAGCTGACTTGAAGTGACGTCATTTTCATTCCTAAATAACTTCGCCGAAGCGAGAGCTTTCGCCTGCATTAACTCCCGGGCCTTGCAGAACGGAACTGCCGCAGACACTGGTGTGGCAGTAGGTGGCGCTGTGGATGGCACGAGGTCCATCGAAGCGGAAGTGAACATTAATTGAGCAGTTACATTGCCTGCCCTTGCCTAAAGCGTGCGCTCACCACGCTGACAGCACCCTGCGTGTTTATGAGTGTATGTTTGCGTGTGTGATGGTTGCACTCATCGTGGGAATGCTCATGTGCACAGAACACATGTTTTTTTTGGACCCCATTCCATCTCCCCCAGCGCTGCTTCCCGGTGTCCGTTTCCCTTCCCGTTTTTTTCTTTAAATTCCTCTTGTCTCTCTTGCTTTGCGCCTACCCGCCTCTTTTTTCTCCTTCACATTTGAAAACGTTCGACCTACTTCCTAATCTCTAGCCCCTATCTTGCTCCTTATTTATACTTCGCGTTTTTCCACACAAGCGAGGCAGTGCAACGTTTAAACTTGTATGCCGATTTATTTCTCTTCAGTTATGGGCTCTCGGATGCATATTTACCTAAAAAATGCTGTAAGTTTATCCTGTATGACAGAGTAGCACTCCGCTGTAGGGAATACCACATTTTCTTTGTGCGTTCTCGCTGGTTAGGCCCGAGAGCTGTTTTCAGGATTGAACTGTTACAGACCGAGCTGTTGTAAACACACGCACGAGTGGATCACTGGTGTGATGACATCAGCTCTCGGGAAGACACCTGGAGGGGGACAGCTGAGTTAAGTGGAACCCGAGGTTTTATTTGTTTGTTTGTTTTTTTGTTTTTCTCCGGTACCGGGAACCGAACTCATGACCTCGCGCTTGCCAGGCAGGCGCTTTTGCCACTGAGCTAAATCCCCAGCCCCCTGGAACCCGAGGTTTTAGCTTTTGAGGCGTCTCCATACCGCTTTCGTCATGGTTGCATCAGTCTGCACTCCCACCAGCGATGGAGGAGGGTTCCTTTCTCCCCACAGCCTCTCCAGCATGTTATTGGTTGATTTCTTGATGACAGCCGTTCTTTCTGGAGTGAGATGGAATCTCAGTGTTGTTTTTATTTGTATTTCTCGAATGGCCGGTGAAGTTGAGCATTTCTTCATTGATTTGTGAGCCATTTGTACTTCTTCATCTGAGAAGTGTCTGTTGTTCTCAGATGCCCGTTTCTGATGGGGTCTTTCCAATTTTTTTTAGTTCTTTTTATATTCTAGATACTGGTCTTCTGTCCCAGGGATAGTTGGCAACATTTTTTCCCATTCTGTAGGTTGTCTCTTCACTCTATTTTTTCTTAAAAGTTTTCCCTTCATGTTTCAACTTTTTAAAACATTTACTTGGCTGGACATTCCTCTCTGAAAGCTGTAGTATTCTAGATATTAAACATATATCCCTTGTAAAAAAATCACTGGTCGTCTGTACCTTTTACTTTTTGCCTCGCCAGAGTCAGATGGATCAACCCAAGCCCAAAGGATCTCCACCTAACCTGGTCAGGTTTTTTTTCTAGTATGTACTTAACTCTTAGCAGACAGAAACAAATGGCAAGATACCTACTTACATAAGTTAAAGAACTTATGTAAGAAAATAATTTTTTAGGGTCAGTTCGCTTTCTAAAGATTTTTTCTGGTGTTGGTCTGATGCAGTGAGAATTGATATTCAGGATGAAGCCGGAAGCTTTGCAGAGTCGTAACTCATCCAAGAGATATATATTCATTCTGTGCAGTGCAGGCCCAAGGCTAGAAAGGGCGCAAGCACCCCGAGTGAAGGGGTTTTCTGGATCACAGCGAGTCACTCCTGAGGCTGACCCTGGGATCCACGCAGCCCCAGGCGGCTGGTGGTGCAGTCTTTGTCCCTCCGAGGTGCAGCAGTTGGTGTTACGTGCTTTCTGCGGGTGAAGCGAGGTCACTTGTCCGAGTCACAGAGCTGCTGAGTGCAGGGGTGCTTCTGCCTGCAGAGCCCGGCTAAGACGCAGAGGTGTGGCGGAGTGAAGAGCATCGCGTCTGCTTCTGTGCTTGTTCCTCCGGTGGCCTGGGGCAGCCACAGCTTCCGCTACCCGTGACTTCCTTTCCCTGGGGTTAGGGGTGGCTTATTGATCACGATCTTCTAAGTGCGTCAGTGGGGGTTATGATGACTAATGACCCCTTGGCTCAGATCCCCTTCCGTATGGTTGCAGGTCTACTCAGTTTTATCTTACACTTTTGGTAGAGCCTAATTAGCCTTTTTTAAATGGTGGGGTTTTTTTGCACGAAAACTTTTGGTAGGAATACAAAATTGTAATATCTGAAAATCCTTGAGTAAGGAAACACCGTCCCAGGAGTTCATCCAAGGAGCTGTGTGTAGCACGGATTCCGTGCTTAGTGTGGGTGAGCCACAGCGTGGTGTGGGAGGAAGACTGGGGAAGTAGTAGGTGGAATGCAGTTGCTCATGGCTGGTGTCCTCGCCCAGGAGGGGACTGCTGATGATCAGGGTTCGGGCTGTGCTTCACCGTTCCGCAATACTTCCTCATCCTGTTTTAAGAGAACCTGGAAAACTTCTGAATGGCCCTTTTTTTTGCTATAAAATTAATGAATTTAAGTAATGCACATACTTTTTGACATACTAGGCTTTTTTCTTACTTATGAGGAGAGGGGACGAAGTGGGTTTTACTATTACGCTGTTTGAACAGAGAATCGTATAAAAACTTGGCATTCAAACACATTGCCTTGGTTTTTTTAACCTTAGTGGATGAAATTACTTCCTTTTTCCAGCATGTTTGGAGATAAAAATAATGAACATATAGATGATTGAACCATTTCAAGCTGGCACTGATGCTGGGATTTGAAATTGTGAGCACTTTAGAGATAAATTCAGAGGACAAGGGAGCAGTACATCATTGGCACACAGATTTCTGGAAGAACTGGAAGAACTCTGTGGTATGTCTTCATGCATCAGGCCAAGATCAGTGGGTATTAAAATTGTGCAGTTCCAGATAGGTCCTTTAAAAATACAATTCACAAGTGTGTGGGAAAATTTTGAGTACTTATGTTGTAGTACAAAGCATTTTTTTCTCATATTCCCACCAAAAATTTTCTTTATCTTTTTAATTTCCTTTTTTTTCTGGAAGAATCACAGATATGCTTCAAAATGACTATTCTTGCTTGTGGTTTTTTTTGGTCTTGTAACAGGAATTTAACATAAAAAGTGATTATGCAAAAGAATGTAGCTTAGTAATTTCTTCTGTTATGACATATTAAAAAGATATTTACAGAGATTGTATTGTGTGCCAGGTATTTCATGGGAACAATGACCAGGAAAGATATGGTCCTTATCTCCTTCAAACTTTACAAAGTGGGAAAATAGGTACTGGATTAAACAAATCAATAAAATTCTAATTTAAAGCAGTGGTAAATGCAATCAAGTATGGGGATGACTTTCCCATCTGAGCTAAGTGGCTGAGCAGGGCCTCATGGAGACTTTCAGAACTGAGAATAAAATAAAAAGAGCAACATTTAGATGGTCTGTTGGCATAGAGGATGACCATTGCAAAGGCCCTGGGGCGGGTACAACCTGCCTTTGTGAGAAGCAAGAGACAGTAGCAGAGGAACTGGGTGAGGAGGACCTGACAAACTGTAGGGTAGAAGACTTTTCCATTTAGTCTACCTATAGTAGGAGCTGCTGGTAGATACATGACCCTGGGAGGAGCAGGTGTGATCTGTAGATTTGGAAGCTCACTCTGCTTAAGCTCACTGTGTGGAGAATGGAGATCGCTGGGGAAGACTGGAAGCAGAAAGCCACTCACAAAGCTGTTGCAGTGAGCAGTGCCAGTTGGAGTGGGGAAAAGCAGGGACGGTGGAGGGCTTTGGCCTCTGGGGATTCCACATTGCTCCTCTCCTAACACACACTGACCTGGGGATTTGTGGTCAGAAGTGGTCTAACGATACTTAGGAAATGTGCGGAGGAGACGTTTGTTTCATTCGCCTCGTGTGCACTCCTGACTGTTGGTGTCCTGGAGACCAGGAGGCTGGGAAAGCCCGATTGGCGGTGCTCAGGAGGAGCTGCAGACCCTGTGCACCTGTAGGGTTTGGGCAGGGTCCAGCTGGTCCTGAGCTTGGGACAGATCTGAGCGTTATAACCGTTTTGTTCCTCTGTGATACCACTGGGAGCAGGGCAGGCGGAGAGCACAGTCCCTGTCGTGGAGATCCCAAGCCAAAAACAGTTCAAGGCCAGCACATGGCTAAGTGGCTTCCAGAGGTGGAGAGACAGGTCTTCCAGTTGGGTCTGTTGATGTCGAGGGGCCGAGTGAACCTGAGCAAGTCACTGAGGCTTCTGCACCTGTTTCCTTGTCTGTGAGGTGGGGAGGACTGTGCTCCTGACCCTCGGGGATGGTTGAGGATTGTGCTCCCGACCCTCGGGGATGGTTGTGGCGCCTCGCTGAGAAATGGTGCTTTGAAAGTGCAGAGCACGGGTCAAGGTTAGTTGCTGCCCTGTGTTCCTGCCTGTGGAGTTAACATTCCTCCACTTAGCTCTCATATTCTCATCGTGTGGGTCATGGGACACAAGTCACTTTTTCAGGCTTGCCTTGACTGCCGGTGCACAAGTAGTACCTTCCCCAACCACGCTGTTTCTGCCGTCCGGTTTTAATTGATTCACAGCCTTTATCCCTCAGTGAAATCATGTAATGTGTCTCTGTGTGCAGGGAACATTTCCCCAGGTTGCGGTGTCCTCTGACACGTTGGGTGCTGTGTGCCCCGTGGCTAGAAATGTGGCTGGCCACGTGGCACAGGCTAGACAGGTGCTCACTTGGTGGCAGGTGTGGGA